TCCATACAATGGTTCATATGATATTATGATTAGCGATGGCTCGGGTATATCCATTAGTCACACTGGTTCTCTTTCTCGTAAAACTCTTTAATATAAATTTTAATTAAATAATGTTCTCTGTGTTCCAAGCATGCAAAAGAATCTTATTTTAGTATCTCAGTTTTGCTTTACCAATAATGTCTCAATTGAATTCTTACCATCTATTTTTGTTGTGAAGGAGCTTCGTAGGGACAACACTTTTGAAGGGTCACACTAAAGAATGGGTATATAAGTGGCCGGTCTCTTCTCCTTTGCTTGCCTTTTCTACCATAAAATCTATATCATTTCTACATCATCCGAATGGTATCACCGTTTAGGACATTTAGTTGTCTCTATTCTCAAACTTATTATTTCTAGTAACAATTTGCGCTTATCCTCCTCTTCTTCATTAGATGTTTTTTGTAATGCATGTTTATGCAATAAAAGCCACAACCTGTCTTTTTCTACTTCTACACTTGTTTCTCATCATCCATTTGAACTAATTTTTTTATGTTTAGACCTCACCAATTCTCTGACATGATGACTTTAATTACTATGTTCTTTTTATTGATCATTTTACAAAATATATTTGGTTTTACCCCATTAAATAAAAGTCTGAAGTTAAAGATATTTTCATCAAATTTAAAGCCATTGTTGAAAAATTCTTTAATAAAACCATCAAAACACTATATTCTAACAATGGTGGAGAATATATTTCTCTATCTAATTTCTTTTCCATCAATGGAATCTCCAATCTCACTACACCACCTCACACATAAAAACATAATGGTTTCTCCGAAAGACGTCATCTACACATAGTCGAAATAGGTCTCGCCTTACTATCTCATGCCGCTTTTCCTCTCATATACTGGTCTCATGCATTTGCTACTACTGTGTACTTAATAAATTGCATGCCTACACCCATTCTAAACCTATCTTCTTCATTTAAACACATATTTGGAACTACTCCGAACTACTCTAAACTTAGAATATTTGGTTATCTCTGTTACCCTTAGTTTAGGCCATATACTTCACATAAGCTTGATTCCTATTCAAACCTTGTGTCTTCTTTGGGTACTCTTTAACTTAAAGTGCCTATTATTACCTTGATCTCTCCTCTTCCAAAATCTATGTATCTAGGCATGTTAAATTTGTTGAGTCTGTATTTCCCTTCAAAACTCTATCTCCTTCATCTCATCGTCATAAACCAAACACCATTACCACTTGGATTCCACCACCAATTTTATTTTCCTCACACTCTTTACTTATGCCACTCAATACACCATCAGATAAAGTAACTCCTCAGCCATCCCAATGTGACACTCCCTCATCTAATGCCTCACCTACCACAATTTCCCCTCCCACTCAACAACAAAACACTCACCACATGATAACTAGAGCCAAAAACAACATTCACAAACCTCTCACCAAAATAAACCTTCATAATCAACTATCCACAACTAGTGACCTTGAACCAACTTCAGTGACTTGAGCTCTCAAAAATCATAGATGGTGTCAGGCTATGTCTGAAGAGTATGATGCCTTAGTTGAGAATGAAACATGAGACTTAATGCCACCTGACCCAAACCGCAACCTGGTTGGGTGCAAGTGGAATTTTTGAACTAAACATAAATACGATGGTTCTGTTGATGGGTATAAAGCTCATTTGGTTGCCAAGGGTCATCAATGTCTTGGAGTAGATTTTCATGGTATATTCAGCCCTATGGTCAAGCCCACCACAATTCGACTAGTTCTTAGTTTAGCAGTGAATCGTGGTTAGTTATTAAGATAACTTGATGTAAACAATGCTTTCCTTCAAGGAAACCTTTATGAAAATGCCTACATGTCTCAGCCACTAGGATTTGTTGATAAAGATAACCCAACACATATATGCAAACTCCAAAACGATCTATGGCTGAAATAAGCCCTCAAGACTAGTATCAGGAACTTTAAACTTTTCTCATTTCATCTGGATTTAAGAACTCATATACTGCTATCTCTTTGTTTGTTTTCAATGCTTCTAGCCATACTTTATATCTTCTTATATATATTGATGACATAATTTTTACCGGTACTGACATTTCCATAGTGAATAGCTTTGTTATTGTAATTACTCAGCGATTCTCTATTAAAGATCTTGGGGTGTTAACATATTTCTTGGGCATAGAGGTTGTACCTAACAACAATGGTATATTACTTTCAAAACGCCGTTACATTATGGATCTTTTAACTTAAGCAAAAAAGGCATGAAGTCAAGTTAGTTCTCACTTTAATATCGACCAGTCCTTCTCTTACGATCAACTCGGGCTCCTCTCTATTTGATCCATCTAACTACCACAAAGTAATTGGTAGCTTTTATTAATCACAAGACTAGATGTAGTCTTTGCTGTCAATAAATTATCACAATATATGCATCATCCATCAACCGAACATTGGTCATTTGTTAAACACATATTACGTTATCTCGCTAACACCATTAATGATGGCCTCCAAATTTACCATGACTAGTCTCTCAGTTTACATGCCTTTTTGAATGCGAATTGGGTAGGGGACAGAGACACATTTTGCTCCACAGGTGCCTATGTTGTTTATCTTGGTAAAAATCCTGCGTCATGGAGTTCCAAAAAGCAAAAGACTATTGCTCGATCCTCCACTGAGGCAGAATACTACTATGTCGCCAATACAACTGCTGAAATAAATTGGTTTTGCTCTCTTTTATCTGAACTTGACATTCGTATTTGTGCTTGCCCTGTAATTTATAGTGATAATATAGGAGCTATCCAACTTTGCTCCAATCTAGTTTTCCATTCAAGAATGAAGCATGTTGCAATTGACTTTCACTTTATTTGAGATCAGGTTCAATATGGGATTCTTAGTGTTGCTCATGTCTCTTCTGAAGATCAAATTGCTGATGCTCTCACAAAGCCTCTTCCTCGACAACAATTCCTTCTACTCAAGATCAAGATTGGACTTCGTTCTCGACCTTCATCTTGAGGGAGCATAATAAATAAATATCTACTACCAACATAAAAATCTGTTGTGATCCACAGATTTAAAGATTATCATTATCAATATTCATTCAAAATCAAGCTTTCAGATATATGTAAACTTAAGAGATATACTTTATATATTCTACATTTTCGAATCCACAACAAACATCTTGTATAAACCTGCTACTGGAAATGGGAAGCTGCAGTATTTTTTGTTAAAGTCTTAACAACTTATAACCCACAACCACATGTTATTTCTCAAGAGGATTTGCCCATTTCTCCTTATTTTATCAATGTGCTTTGTTTCTTAAACAAAATAATTTATAATGCTTTTATCAATGTTTTTTGTTTCATAAACAAAATAATTTATAATGCTTATATTTCGTAGATATTTCATAATTATGTTGTATGATTTATTTCTCCAAATAAAACTTTTATAATATTTTAATTAATTATAGATGATTAATTCAAAGAGTTCATAATTAATTAGTTGTATTAAATTAATCCATGGAAGACAATCTCCCCACAAAAAAAAAAAAAAGCAAACTACACCATCCCATGAAAAATTGACCAAACTTTTTTAGAAATAAAGATAAAATTTAAATTTGTTAGCAAATGTTTTTGGTTAATATACTTTTAATGATTTGATGATTAAATAATGTTTAAATTTGCCCCCACCCATGATTCGAATCTCGATTTGGCACAAAATATGTAAATAAAAAATTTGAAAGCCTTTTGTTTTGGTTGCATTAATAATTAATTAAGAAAATTTTATTAATAATGGTTTAGGTGTGTGCATATGTCAGACTAAACTTGTTGATTATATACTCATTCTTTGATTATTAAGGTAATACAAATCCAGCAAATATCCCATTACACTCTTCTTATCCAATACCCCATATATATATATATATATATATATATATATATATATTTCTACAAATAATAATTTATGAATTTAATTATTTCCCACTTTCATTTTCACAAAAAAACTTCGATTATTAAGAAGAAAATTTTGCTTTGCAAATTGAGATGTTGCTTTCTTATTTGCATTGCCTTCATCTTTTATAAATTAGTTGTCAATCAAATTCAATTTTTTTAATTGTTTAACATGTTTAGACACAAAATAAAATAAAATTAAATATAATTAAACATATACATTTTGTACATATGAATTTAAATAGAAAAAAAATATTTTCTTCAATAAGTTATTAATTTTTTTTACTTTTTTAAAACAAACAAAAGAGATGAGATGAGGTATAAAAAAAATATTTATACATATGAGAATGAATCCTGATTTTCTTAACCATAATTTAAGATAAAAATTCGGGTTATACAATAATTTTTTATTTTTTTGATTTATAGAAGAAGAATAAAATTATGAATATGGTACGGTAAACTCAATATTAGTATAATGTTTTAAATTATGAATATGAGAGGTAAAAATTTTATGATTTTGTATATAATTTTAAATTTGAATCATATTTTTATAATTTACCCAAAATAAAATACACAAAAAATTTGATGCATGGCATCATGTTGTCCAAGGATAGTAAGGCGCAAGCCAAAAATAAATGGGGAAAACGCTGGCGTTTTGAATGTGGCCGTAGTATGGGAAGTGTTCAACCCTTTTACCAAATTCAATTTGAATTCTAAAGTTTTGAAGATTCTCACAAGCAATCCACTCAGTATCTGCCAATTCTCTTTGAGACGCTTAATTGCAATAATTAGTATTTTTTTTATATTAAATAATAATACTAATTATTTTAAATAGAATGTTGATTTACATGTGGAAAGGCAATTTTAGGTGAGTTTTAATTACATTAATGGCTTTTTTTTTAAATAAAAAATAAAAAATAAAATGAATAATTAATTAAGAAAAGGCGAATGTCCAGGTTCATCCTCCCATTCCAACCTTAAATCTCTGTAAATCCAAACAGCCGGACTCTAATCAAAATGACCCTTTGGGAAAACCCTCTTTCTTACATTGAAATTCCCAAAATACCCTTACATCACTGACCCTTCCCTTCCACTATTTCCACTACTATATTACCAAGGGGCCAGCCACTTACGTTCTTCCTCTCTCTCTCTCTCTCTCTCTCCCTCCGATGGCTTCCATGGCTGCTATCTTCAACAATACCGCATTCCCTTCTCGCTCCGTACACAAATCCCTCAATCCTCGTTTTACCCCTCCCTGCACTCTCTCCATCTCCCTTCCGTCATCCTCCTCCATCCGCCTCCGGTCTTGCCAGAGGTTCCGGGTCCGATCCGGGTTGATAGAACCCGATGGCGGGAAGCTCGTGGAGCTGGTTGTTGAAGAATCACAGAGGCCTGCGAAGAGGAGAGAGGCGACTTCGCTTCCGAAAATCAAGCTCACCGGGATCGACGTGCAGTGGGTCCATGTGTTGAGCGAGGGGTGGGCCAGCCCCCTCCGTGGATTCATGAGAGAATCCGAGTTCCTCCAAACTCTTCATTTTAACGCGCTCCGACTCGAAGACGGGTCGGTCGTTAACATGTCGGTGCCGATCGTCCTCGCCATCGACGATTCGCAGAAGCACCAAGTCGGTGAGTCGACCAGGGTCGCGCTCGTTGACTCCGACGACAACCTTGTTGCCATTCTCAACGAGTAAGTTGATAAATAATATCATTCTTCTTTCCTTTCAAAGCTTTGATTAAGTTGTTATTGGATTTAGTATGAGGGGCTGTATTCGCATTAGGTTGTTTGTAGTGCCTATAGATTTAAAGTAAAATGAATGGTTGGTTTATGTTATGCAAAACAGTTCCTATTTTAGAAATAAAAACATTTTCTTTTTTTTTTGTTTTTTGGGTAAATATTGAAAATGAAAACTGGTTGCTGAAAAGTGTAATGCAAGAGAATATATTGTTTTTCTTTTTTGGGAAAATATTAATCCTTGTAAAATTTCTGTACGAGTTGTTTTCATGTTTAACAACTATTACAAATATCAATTTGGAGAAGTAGAATAAAAATGTGCTATGAGTTTTCAAACTCAGTTGTATCTTCACCAGTGCTTTTTATTAACCCAGTTTTTATTTGTGGCGTTATTAAGAATTTTAAAAATGAATACTGGCTTAATAACTTTCAGACAAACAGGGATGCAATTAACAATGGAGTTGTAAATACAAGAAAATATCTGCTAATTTTGATATCAGTGATGATATGAGGACCCTAGTTGTTTTTCTTTCATGGAAAATAGGAGAGTCAGTTCCTGATGGTGTACTTTTATTTTGTGAATTTGGACCAAATTCATATCCAAGTTTTTCATGTTTCGATTTTCCGTCCGAGCAGTAAATTCTGCTTCCAAATGGGTAAGAAAGTTTTCCCCCCCTGATCTATGTTGGTTGGTCCCACTAAAAATAAGCAATTTGAATGCTCCTGTGATCAGGGATTTTTAGCCTGGTGCTTGTGATTGGTAACTAATTTAGTCAATCACCTTCAAAATTTCAATTTAATCATTAATAAACTAAATTAGGAGATTTTAAATATCTGGTAAGGCGGGAAAGACAGATAAGTTCAAGACAACGAAGTCAACATCCTGTGGTTTCCGAACTAGTTAATTATTTATGGCCCTTTCATTACTTGCTTAATCCGGATTTTCGTTACCTGGAATTTTTATGGATTCCATTGTTCTGCAGTTTTGACTAAAGAATCCAGTATGTAGGAATACGTAATGTCAACTATCAAATTAGATTGTCAAGTTTTGAAAATGACATGAGATGTAAATTCAAATATTATTTCATACAGGATGGTTACTTGTTGAGGTGCACCTATATCTGCTTTTCTTATCATTCTTCCAAGTTTATTTGTATATTAAAATTTCTTTGACGTCTTTCGAATAATTCGTCAACTTTGAAATGAGAATTTAGCCGATAGCAAAGAAAGAGAACAAGCGAAAAATAAAAAAAGAGAGACATGAAGTTGAAGAGCAGGCTTAAGATTTCTAGATCTGTTTACTGTATTTTTCTCAATACGTGCGTCTTTCCAAGATTATATAGGCCTTATACTGCATCAGCTTGCTTAGTTGTAGAGAGTCCAGTGCATACTATCTCAGGGGATTTATATGTTGGTTTACCTTCTATCATAACCCATGTCTTCTTGGCTTGTTTAATTTTTCCAGCATTGAGATATACAAACATCCTAAAGAAGAACGGATAGCCAGAACATGGGGAACTACTGCTCCTGGGCTACCTTATGTGGAAGAAACTATAAAAAATGCTGGAAATTGGCTGATTGGAGGGGCGTTAGAGGTTTTAGAGCCTATCAAGTACCATGATGGCCTTGATCGGTTTCGATTGTCTCCTTCAGAACTACGTAAGGAATTTACAAGCCGTAATGCAGATGCAGTATTTGCTTTCCAGCTCAGGAATCCCGTGCACAATGGCCATGCCCTTCTCATGACTGATACTCGTCGTCGACTCCTTGAAATGGGATACAAGAACCCCATACTTTTGCTTCATCCTTTGGGAGGTTACACAAAAGCAGATGATGTTCCTCTTAGTTGGCGGATGAGACAACATGAGAAGGTAAGGACATACTTAATTCATCTGATTTAATTTATTATTGTTATTATTCTTCTGGGGAAGGTAGGGGCTTTGGAGAAGGTTTGAGCTATACAATCTCTAAGGAACCCAGTATGGATGGTTCTTTCAAACCACACCCGAGTTTTCTTTTCTTTTTCTTCCAAAGACAGAAAACTGGTAGAAATTGAGGGACATTTTCTTGCTTTCTTTTCCTCTAGTCTCCTTCCGAGGAACATTATGTTTGAGTTTGGCATAGAAGTTTGACATAGAAGTTCCCATGACTAGTAGAAATTGAGGGACATTTTCTTGCTTTCTTTTCCCCTAATCTCCTTCCGAGGAACATTATGTTTGAGTTTGGCATAGAAGTTTGACATAGAAGTTCCCATGACTGGTAGAAATTGAGGGACATTTTCTTGCTTTCTTTTCCCCTAATCTCCTTCCGAGGAACATTATGTTTGAGTTTGACATAGAATTTCCCATGACTGCTACTGATTTAGTACAATGATAATTGTAAATGATCAGGTGCTTGAAGATGGTATTCTTGATCCAGAGACAACTGTGGTTTCAATATTTCCATCTCCTATGCATTATGCTGGTCCAACTGAAGTACAGTGGCATGCAAAGGCTCGAATAAATGCTGGGGCTAACTTTTATATTGTTGGTAGAGACCCGGCTGGCATGGGCCATCCAGTGGAAAAAAGAGATCTGTATGATGCTGATCATGGGAAGAAGGTACTGAGCATGGCACCTGGACTTGAGCGGCTGAATATCCTTCCTTTCAAGGTAATTAAAGCATCTGGGCTTGCACTAGATACTAGTTGACATTAAAACTTACTGAGTTAATGACGGTAAATGTTACGTCAGTACTTGTCAGAATAAAGTTTGAGATCTTAATTGATTATTTATACTGCAGGTGGCTGCATATGATAAAACTCAAGGCAAAATGGCATTCTTTGATCCCTCAAGGGCCCTGGACTTCCTGTTCATATCAGGCACCAAGGTAGTATTTTGTTGGAAATACTGACTGCCATTTTTGTTAATAACTAAGGATAATTCTGAGGGGAAAAAAAGCCTTGTGATATTCCAAAAGGGGAGGAGTTAAGATTACGCAAAAGAATTGATGTAAAAATAATTGCTAAGATGTAAGAAATTTCTGTAATTTAACACGGTTTGTTTGCATTTTACAGATGCGAACACTGGCAAAGAACAAAGAGAATCCTCCCGACGGATTTATGTGCCCTGGTGGGTGGAAAGTGCTAGTTGAATATTACGATAGTTTGAGTCCACCCAGGATCAACGACAAAGTCCCTGAAGCAGTTGCTGTTTAAGAAGTAAGGATGACGGAAAGAATTGTGTATGATAGATTTGTAACATGATTGATGTTTGAGAGAAACTTCTGGACTATGTAAAGAAAGAATCTGTGTGCAGAACAGATGTGTAATAAAATCAAGGGGAGAGACGCAGGAACAGAGAGAGGATTTCGATTTGTGTCTCTGTAATCTGAGCGTCTTTTGTAGCACCTAGCTCGGGTGCTCCTGCATTGTACCATATTGCTGTTGTGTTCCTATAAACAACATTTGGTTGTTGAGATTAATCGTTTTGCATCCTGATTCTTGAAACTCTTATGAAATCCCCCATCATCATTCATTTTTCTTCTTTTGCCCGTCAAACCCAAATATTCAAATTAATGCCAGTCTGCAGGTCTCATGTTTTCCACTTAATTTTTGGTCTACTTTCTAGAATTGTAAACATTGCTGGTGGCAAAGATGAGAGAAAAGAAATATTACCCTCAATGAATCACCATTAGAAAAAGAAAATGGAGAAATAAGGGGGGAGATGAACATAGAAACAATTAAAAAATGTAAAGTCTTGACCAAACTCCCCGTAACTATTCCTACCTTATAAAATATCAATAATAATTATTAAATTAATATTTATATTATTCAATTAACTTTTAAGAAAAATGTAAAAATATTGTTTACGTAATTATTAAACTTACTTTTTAATTCTTAATTAATTATTAATTTTAAAACATAAATTATAAAATATAATATTACATCTCATATGAGAAAACTTTTATAATAAGTTTAAAACAACGACTGGGACAATGGGATCCTGAGCGGGTTCAAATCTCACAAGCCCACGTTGTAGATATTACTTCCAAAACCCCTTCAAAACCCTCCACATCTGCTTCCATGGCTTCCGTTTTCTTCCGCTAGCAAAACCAGGTTAGTCTTTTTCTTCTTCTTCTCTCTTTTTTTCTTAAAAAGAAAAGTCATGCCTCTGCTAATTTCAGCTGTCTTTTTTCCCTGTATCTTTACTGCTTATTTTCTCTCTTCTTTTTCTCCAGATTGCCTCAAATTTTCTTATGACATCAATTGTTGAAGATGCAAGCCATCAAACACTGAATAAGAAAAACAAAATGGTGTTTGGTGGAACTTTAGGAAACCCTTTGTTGATGGGTGTTTTGAGTTTCTCATTTTTTATCAGTGGAAATTAATTTCCTGATTTCTTCTTCTTCTTTTGTAACATCTGGCTCAATGCTTTACACCCACAAAGGAATTCAAACGCCTCTTTAACAAATGATGTATTTTATTAATAAAAAAACTATAACGCATATGGACTGTAGAACCAATGTATAAATTTACATAAAATAAACGAATCAATTAAATTTCTATACATTTCTCCACTTTAAGTAGTTGAAAATTGGCTTTTCTGGGACAGGTATGCACTTGACAAGCCAACCAATCGGCCATGACACCACTGCAATTCCAATGCAGGCTCCCCATTGACTCCAGTTTAACCTCTCTGTATCCGCAATCTTTTTCAGAAACTCCACCATCACCACTTGAAGAATTATGGTGAATCCAATTATTCCCACAAACAATTTGTTCTTGTGTATCCCCTCAAAAACATTTCTCTTTTCAAGCCTTCTTGCGTTGAATTCGTTGAAGATCTGGCAGAACACAAAGGTGTTAAAGATCAAAGTGAGGTTTACCTTCTGGGTCACCCTGAATATTGATTCTCCTCTGAACTGAAGGGTCAGAAGAACTGCAACCTGGTAAAGAGATTGAGCTAATATGTTCCTCCACATGATATTTGTTACAAGTGGTTCGGTTCGACCCACTGGAGGTTTCTCCATCAGCTCTTTACTCGGCTGCTCTGTGGCTAGAGCCAGAGCACCAAGGGTGTCCATGATCAGATTGACCCATAACAATTGAACTGCCGTTAGAGGAACTTCACCTGCAGAAACTGCAGCTATAAAGTTGATTACCAGTGCAGCTACGTTTACTGTAAGTTGGAATTGAATGAATTTTTGAATGTTGGTGTAAACGCATCTTCCCCATCTCAAAACGGTGGCTACTGAAGCAAAATTATCATCCAAGATGACAATATCTGAACTTTCTTTGGCTACTTCTGTGCCTTGAATACCCATTGATAATCCTATATCTGCTTCTTTCAATGCAGGTGCATCATTAGTGCCGTCTCCGGTGACTGCTACAACATAGCCTTTCTGTTTCAGGCATTGAACCATAAGGAGTTTGTCAAATGGAGAAGATCTTGCCATCACGCAGATTTTATCAACTTTCTCCATTCTTTCCTCTGGACTGTAGTTTCTAAATTCTTCACCTTCTACCACTGCATCACTCAACATGTCATCATCACCTGGTTTTAGAATCCCACATTCGGTTGCTATAGCTCTTGCAGTGAAAATATTATCTCCAGTTATCATTTTTATGTTCACACCTGCATATTGACATTCCTCTACAGCTTTTTTCACTCCGGGTCTACATGGGTCTTTTATGCCCACCATGCCAATCAGGCTCAAGTTCTCTTCTTTTATCCCTTTCTGTTCATCTTCTGAAATTTGACTGTGTGCAAAAGCAATACAACGTAAACTTTTGGCGGCCATACCTTGAATTATTTGCTCCAATATGCTTCTTTCATTATCACCGAGGTCTTTCACAATTCCAGAAGCGTCGTAGTAGCTTGAACACATTGCTAGAATCATCTCCGCAGCACCTTTCCAGTGCACGTGTAGTGTGGAATCAGCTTTGTTCATCATCAAAACCCCACTCCTCTTTTTCTGTGAATTGAAGGTTTCAACACGAAGAATGTCACAGCTCTGTGTCATTTCATTCATATCCATGTTCAGTTCCAATACAGCCCAAGACAGAATTGCCTTTTCGGTGGGACTGCCAGAGAACTCGAATTTAGATCCTGAATTTGGCTTGTAAACACCACCAGTTGTGTTCACAGCGACTGCTTGCCGAATCAATTCGATCACAAATGGAGAAATTGATGAAACTGTAGCTTTTTCCACATGTTCTTGGCCAGCCCAGAATTCTGTGACCTGCATCTGGTTTAATGTGAGAGTACCTGTTTTGTCCGTACAGATAGTGGTTGCAGAGCCCATAGTTTCACAGGCTGCGAGCTTCCTTACCATTGCTTGATCAGCCATCATCTTCTTCATTGAATAAGCCAGAGTAAGTGTAACAGCTAATGGCAATCCCTCAGGAATGGCAACCACCACAATAGTAACAGCCACAGCCACAATTCCAACAACAGAATTCACTACATCATCAAACTTTGTCTTTCTTCCATTGAATTCTCGATTTCCACTCTCATCTCTTGTATTTCCTGTAAAGTACCGAACCAGCAAGACTACAAGAACCAGGAAAGCAACAGCAAGACCAACCTTACCTATTGATGAAGTTAAGTTACTGAGTCGGGCTTGTAAAGGAGTTTGTTCATTAGTATCTCGACTGATTTGGCTCATCATTTCTCCCCATGTTGTGTTCATCCCAACTGAAGTGACAACCATCCGACCATAACCATCAGCCACCTTTGTTCCTGAAAGCAAGAAAGGATTTTCTCTGCTATCTACCTCTACGTGATCACTCTCCCCCGTCATGCTCGATTCATCGACTTGCAATGAGTGGCCATCAACGAACAATCCGTCCGCGGGAACTTGGTCTCCGATCTTTAAGCAAACTAAATCTCCGGCAACTATGTCAAAAATCGAGATGTGCTGACGGCGTCCGTTTCTCACAACTTCAATCTTAATATTGTTGCTTACTCTGGATAACTTGTCGAATTGCTTGTTCTGGCGATAGTTACTGATTGCAGAGAAAGAAATGACAATAAAGACGGCAAGAAATATGCTTCCTCCATCGTACCAACCTTCTTTTGGGCCATGCTCTTTGATTCCAAAGCCGAGTGCTAGAGCTGCACAGCCCAAGAGGATGAGAATGGTAACATCTTTAAAAGCTTCCATTACAAAATGGAAAAAACTCTTTGCGGGCGGTTTTTTATAGGTGTTAGAACCGAATGCCTCGAGTCTGCGGTCGATTTCTTCGTCGCCGCCATAGATTCCGGTGTTCAGATGAGTTTGAAGAGCGGAAGCTACTCCCTGGACACCACCGAGCTTTTGAAGGTGGTCGAGGTTTCTATGCTTGACAAGCTCAACGAGGCTTAGTTGATCAATGTTGAAGTTGGAGGCGGCGGAGAGTTTGGGTTGGTCAATTTGGAGCAGGGAATAAGAAGGAGAGCGAGGAAGAAGATGGTTGGTTTTGCTGTTGGGTTTAGGGTTTTTGGCGATGGAGAAGAGAGTTCTTGAACAGTAAATTTTGATAAAAGCTAATTGCCATCTGACAATGGGTTTGGCAAGACCTGAAGGAACGTCAAGAAGAACATGGATGCATGAAAGGTTTGCATGGGAAGCATTAGACATGTTGTAATCTTCAAAAGAAAAAAGATGACAAGGAATAACAATCCGGCGAGCTAAAGGCAATTGACGATTAGGAAGTAATGGGTAAATGATGAGTGCAGAATGCGTGTTTATATATATATGTATGTGTGTGTGGATCCGAATTGCCTGTTAGCTGGATGAGGACAAGGAAGTTGCAGCAGCATCTGGGAAGTCGACTGGTGGCCGCGTCTCCAATGGCGTGTCAAACATTTTAACGTTTCTTAACATGCAAGGTAAATAAAGAATGAAAAGAAATACTTTCAAATGTCTTAAATACAAAGGGTGTTATAAACAAGTGTATGAGGGGATTAGGCGCGCACAAAATCCATCAAATATCAAACACAAATATCTCCGTCAGATCTGAAACACAAATATATCTGCAATTTTTTTTTCGATAGAGATTTATATATTTAATTTATTTTTACCATTTTGAGTGAAGAAGATAATATATAAATATAAATATCAATGATAATATTACAAAAATGATTTCAAAAAATTAATAATACATTTGAGAATACAATCTGATTTAGACAAACTACATTTTTTTAAATAATAAAATGTATAGATTATTAAATTAAATAATAATTGATTATATATTTTATTAATTAAGTAATAATTATATAATAATATGTAGGCAATTAATATAAACAATTTGAAGGATCAATATTCTGTCAATATCTGAAAAACTTGAAGAACAATTTTTGGTGTAACGTAGAAACTTCCGTACATAGTGATATATGAGGTGTAATTCCATTAAATGTATATTGCATACATACATACATATATATATATATATATATATATATATTCTGGAACTGGTTAGGACGGAGAATCTTGATCAAAAAACTTGAAAAGGTTGATGAAAATGTAACTACGGCTGGTATGGGCAGGATCCTTCCTTCAACACTTTTCCCACCATTCCGTCAACTTCATATCTCGAGTAGAATAATATTTTCATTCATTGGGCGAGATTTGTATGCATGGTTATTGACATATTATGCTTATATATGTCTCACGTAAAATACAATAAAAAAAAAAAAAATTATTTTTTTAAAAATAAATTTTTTTAATAGTAAAAAAAAAAAAAGAGATATACTAATTGCAAATAATTAACTTAGGAGTTCATATACTTATTGTTGTCTTCCGAATATGATATTAATAATTTTAAAATTAAGGAGATAGAAAATTTCACATAAAAAGTTCTTTAACGTAAAAGAGAAAAATATATGAGTCAAATTGCGAATTAAATTATTTTTATGCAGCATGAGAAAAAAAATAAAATAAAATAAAAAATTAATTTTTTTGTAAAGAGACAAAATAACTGACATCAGTGATGACGTAAACCTCCTTTTTAATTTTTCTCTTGGCCGGCGTTCTACCACTCTTACCATATATATATATGTATAATTTCTCTTTTTATCTTCCTTCTCTCACTTTCTTTTTCTGAATTTTTTCTTCTCTTTTTTTCCCCTTAATCGTGCAACATACATATATATATATGAGCTGTAGGCTTAATTTTTTTTCTTTTTTTAAAAAATTATTAATTTATCCTCTTTTTTTTTTTTTAATTGGGCTGAATCTTAACAGTAGCTAGATTTGATTAAATATTGCAATACTAAAAAAAGATTATCACATTATAATATATAAAGAAAAATAACTATTTATATTATAAAACAAATAATTGATATTTAAATTATATAATTATATACAATATTAATACATTAAATTATTTGAGAGTTTATTAATAATAACTCTCTCTTAATGATTCATAAACATGTTAGGAATTTTTTTATAAAAAAAATACAATAACGACAAGTATTGATAGTTTTGAATATAAATAAAATATGTATGCAACTACAAAATAGAAAACATACTATCTGTGCGTGTGTGTGTGTGTATATATATATATACATACATCATAAGAGTAAAAATTAAAGAGAATAAAAAGTTGAAGCATGCATAATTAGAAAAATTAAACTATCTATTATTTCCAAACAGATCATGGTATAAATGTAATGGGTCAAACTCCAGATGTCACCCACATATATATATATATAGTTGTTGGGAAAAGTTATTTTCCAACCTAACAAACAACTAAATTGAACTAATATCACCTGAAGCAAATTGACTGCAACCTTACTTTCCAGGCTGCGAGCGATAAATACATGTTTAATTTGTATTTTTAATGGAAAAACCATTAACTAATTTTCATTTATCTTGTTTTATTAATTATAAAAATATTTAATTTAATATAACTTCAAAATATAATCAATTAATTTCTTAGTTAAAATGTTTTTCACTTGTGCTCTTGCAGCATCACCTCTAAAATTCTCTTTGTTTCTCCTTTTATTTATTTATTTATAATATTAGACTCATCAAAATAAATAATAATGCATCCAACCAAATCTATTTAGTTATTCCCGTCAAGTTTGGTAACATACATATATTACAATGTCAATGTGTGAAAGTAGGTACTTATTGTAATCAAGAAAGTAAAAATTCATATGTTTTAATTATTAAATAGTACCTATAATAATATAATTTTTTAATAATAAATACATGTAGAATGTAAAAATAAACTTAAATTAATAAAGTACATCTGAATCATCAGTTATTGGCACAAGGCAAAATCATATTTGTGACCTTGGTCCTTTCTAAC